GGTGGAGGTTGTAGGATGGTGAGGTCTCACAAACCAGACTCTTAAGGACAGATAATAGCCCTTAACGGACTAAAGGTCTATCTTTCTTCTGAAGCTCTCAATGGCCTAGAATAAGGCCCTGCCAAATAAGTATGTGTGCTCAGTCACTCAGTCCTGTTCGACTCTTTGCGACCCCGTGGACTGCAGACCGCCAGACTCCTCTGTCCATGGGATCCTCCAGGCAAGAATACTGGAGTGGGTTGCCATGACCTTCTCCAGGAGATCTTCCCGACCCAGGGATCAAACCTGTGTCTGTTAGGTCTCCTGCATCGGCAGGCAGATTCTTTACCACTGAGCTGCCTGGGAAGCCCGCATGCACTAAATAAATAGAGCAGATGTTATTGAACTTCTATTTTCTGAGCAGAAAACTGAAGGAATTGACACCCAAGCAGAAAGGCCATAGCTCCTATATTAATCTTTTCCAAACCTGAGGACTAACCTTTATGTGTGTGTATATGTGTGTGTTTTAAGTGGAGGGAGAGGGACTTCTCTAACAGGTTCTAAAGAATAAAGCTGTTTTCATTTTTTTTTTTTAAGTGAGAAAGAAGACAGAAGGAAGGAGGGAAGAAAGGGGAAGGATGGGTGGCAGAGAGCAAAAATAAAGTCAAGACCACAATCACACACTGCAGAATGAACTTACAAACAGATTTTCCCTACAGTATCTGTTGATTGGGAAAGCATATAGAAAAATAGATATGACTCCATCTTCTGGTAATGTGAAGTAATAGCAGGAGCAAATGTCCATTTCTCTGATGTCTTTTTGTTTTGTTTCTATTTTAAGGTACTCCTGGAGGTCTGCCTCTTCTTACAGCAATGGTCATCAGAAGATGTCTGCCTTATCAATACTTCTATTACCTAAAGCAGAAACGGGACAAGGAGCAGCTTTCAAGGACGCTTCAGAGTCTGATGCTAAAACACATCACTCATCTGTGTGCACAGTACAGAAGTCATAGCTGCCTTCCTTGCACAAAAATGGGGCTTCTCTTGTAGCTCAGCCGGTAAAGAATTTGCCTGCAATGCAGGAGACCCGGGTTCAATCCCTGAACCGGGCAGATCCCCTGGAGAAGGAAGTGGCAACCCACTCCAGTATTCTTGCCTGGAGAATCCCTATGGACAGAGGAGCCTGGCGGGCTACAGTCCATGGGGTCTCAGGAGTCGGACACAACCTAGGGACTGAACCATGCACAAATAAAAGCAACGCCCTTGGGATTCGCTCAGTGAAATCAACATTCACCATGGACCTGAATGTTCTAGAAAGATACATGTCAATGGGTGCTGGGTGACAACCCCGCCCCGCAGCCCCAGCGTAACAGGATGGTGCCTGTTCTGCAAGTGTGATGGGTCAGGGTGCATGAGCACCACCCTCACCTGCTTCTCAACAATGACCAATTCTTCCCCAGATTAAAAAAAAAAAATACTCACACAACTCAGACCCACCCAGAGCACATTTCTGAGCAAGAATCCTGTGAAATGTTTGTGTGGGGGCGGTGAGAACTGAAGGACAGAGCAGTGCTGACAGGAAGATGTGGTCATGCTTTCTTTTTCCTGAGATAAAACAGAGAGTGGTGTGAGCAGCCGCTGGCTGAGTCGGAGGGCTGGACAGGCGCCTCACTTGGGTTTCCTGCCTCTGTGTCCCCTAGGAGTGCCTGGCCGTAGAGCGTGTCTTGGGATTGACTACCAGGGTCTTCCCAGCTGGGGTGGGCCGGATGCAGGGTTGACCCAAAAGACACATCATTCCTTCCCTCAATCTCAAATGAAGGTCCTCAACGTCCCATGGAAACAGCACCCTCTGCAGAGGTCAGATGATAGCAGCGCTGTGAAACCTGAAACAGGAGGCAGGAGTGGGAAATGAAGTACCTACCTGGGCGATAAAATCAAGGGCATGGGTCTCTTCGTTCTGAAGCCAGGGAATCGTCTCAAGTTTCAAATCAAAGGACGAACTAAAACCAGGAGGAAAGACCCACACGTGACATCTCGTGGGATCAGCGATTCCTCTAGAGGGCGCTGCCCCAGGCCCCACCTGCTCCCCACTCAGTCCTATTCTGGGGAGACTGGGGAGCTCAGNAATGAAATACTACCATTTGCAGCAACATGGATGGGCCTAGAGTTTGTCATACTGAGTGAAGCCAGTCAGAGAAAGACAAATACCATATGATATCACTTATATGTGGAATATAAAAAAGGGGGCACAAAGGAACTTACCTGTAAGACAGAAGTAGAGTTACAGATGTAGAAAACAGATTGATGAGTGCCAGGAGGTAAGGGGTGGAGGGATAAATTGGGAGATTAGAATTGTCATATACACACTGCTATGTGTAAAATAGATAACTAATAAGGACCTGCCATATAGCACAGGGACCTCTACTCAATACTCCATAATGGCCTATATGGGGAAAGAATCTAAAAAAGAGTGGATAGGTGCGTATGCATAACTGATTCACTTTGCTGTACATCTGAAACTAACACAACATTGTAAATCAACTCTACTCCAATAAAATTAAAAACAAAAAGAGAAATGACCTAATTGTCCAGTTACAGAGTTGGTTAAATGAACTATAGTATAGCCACCTTCCAGAATCCAATCCTTTTCTTTACCTGAAAGACTTGAAGATTTCTTCTTTGAACTTCATTCACTTAGCTAGTTGATTGTTCACAGTTGATTGTTTCCGATAAATTTTTCCTAGTATCTTTAACTCTATCACTTGTAGATTAGAGCTTCCCAGGTGGCCCGGTGGTAAATAATCCACCTGCCAATGCAGGAGATACAGGTGACTCAGTTTCAATCTCTGGGTCAGGAAGATCCCCTAAAGGAGGAAATGGAAACCCACTCCAGTATTCTTGGAGAATCCCATGGACAGAGGAGCCTGGCGGGCTACAGTCCATGGGATCACAAAGAGTCGGACATGACCGAGCATGCACTCAACAGCAGCATGTAGGTTATGGGACTTTTCTGGACTTCCAGTTTTAAATACTCGTTCTGGTCCATTGTTTTGATTCTCTTCTCAGGTCATAGGTAGGCTGGGCCACCTTTGCCAATTACTTTGCATTTCACTCACTTTCCCTCTGAAAATTTTTTCTTCCATACCCCTTGTTAACTTTTTTACTCTATCAGTACTTTGTAATATAGTCTTCATTGTGTGTGTTAGTTGCTCAGTCGTCTCCAACTCTTTGCACCCCAATAGACTGTAGCCCACCAGATTCCTCTCTCCATGGGATTCTCCAGGCAAGAATACTGGTGTAGATTGCCATTTCCTTCTCCAGGGGATCTTCCTGGCCCAGGGATGGAACCTGGGTCTCCTGCATTGCAGAATCTTCATTACTGATATATCTTTTCTCCATGTCTCTCCCAAGTCTAAGTAGTTTTTTTGAAGGAAGGGGTGTCGAGAGGAGTCTATTTCTGGTCTTAGCTTTTATATTTCTGATTTTAGGTAGTATTTCATATTCCTAAATGAATTTACTTTGGTGTGTTTCTTTCCAGTAGTTTTGAGTTTTCTTCTGCTTCTTTGAATTTTCTGGTAAGACTTTTCATCAGGAGAAATGCTTTGATTCTCATTTTCAAATGTTTTGCAATAGTTTTATACGGATGTGATCTGCTTTTCTGTACTCTTATTTCTTTCACAAACAGGGTCCCTAGTTTAAGAACTCCTTGGTTCTCCCCCCTTTTGTACCATTTCTTTTATGGGTAATTTGGGTTATGGCGGCCTGGAGAAAGGAGGTTTATTTTTCTGAGAGTCCTTAATCATTCTACTTATTTCTGTCATTTTTTCATTGATTTGTCTCCAAGGGGTATCACCTTCTCTCTATGTATCTGTAACTCCCCCAGAAGTAGTGCTTCTCAAATTCTGCCTTTCCGTTCCCACACACAAAACCCTTCCCTGCCTCCAGTGCTGTGAACTTCCAGTTGCAGCCTGTGTTTTGTACTTTCTCATTTAAAGCTGACTTTCTATTTCCAGGGTTATTTCATTTGTGTTTTATCAAGGTTCTCTGCTATCTTCCACCCTTCTCTTAAGCCTCCTGTTCAACTCACACCCTTTCTGCTGGAATTCATCCTCTCCTCCACTTGCAGGTAAATGAAAGGTCACGGTATCTCTGTCTCCTAGTAACGTCATGATCCTGTGTAGCTTTGTTTGCTCTCCTGGTTGTTTCTTTGTGTTTCCTGTTGGGAAGCCTCCACTGTTCTGTTACACAGAAGCCGCCTCTGCCTGGTTTCAGAGACAGTCAGCAAAGCCACACTTCTCCTCGGCTCTAAGCCTCACTCAGTTACCGCTTTGGGTCGACAATATGTTCCAAAGCTCCAGCCACCCGTTTCTTCCTCTTCTTTTCAACTTCCCCACAAAGATGCAAAGTTTTCAATGATTTTGTCTACTGAGAAAGAAAATCCTATTGCCTAAGTAATAATTTCTTCATTGATTCACTATAGCCAACAACATCCTGTCTGAAACCAGTATTAGCGGAGTTGATCAGGTAACCATCAAGCAAAGAGACACTTCACGCAGCCAAAGCTAAACATTTAATGGTGAATGTTCAGTATTCGTTAAAACTATTTAACATTGAAAATCACTTGTGAGTGTTAGTTGTTGCCTTTATAAATGCCGTCTCTAGGTTGGGATTATTGCCCTGTCCATTAAATCAAATTTAGACAGCAAACATTTACAGACAACTAGGGTTATAGAGTGGAGAAGGCAATGGCACCCCACTCCAGTACTCTTGCCTGGAAAATCCCATGGACGGAGGAGCCTGGTGGGCTGCAGTCCATGGGGTCGCTAAGAGTCAGACACGACTGAGCGACTTCACTTTCACTTTTCACTTTCCTGCATTGGAGAAGGAAATGGCAACCCACTCCAGTGTTCTTGCCTGGAGAATCCCAGGGACGGGGGAGTCTAGTGGGCTGCCGTCTATGGGGTCGCACAGAGTTGGACACGACTGAAGTGACTTAGCAGTAGTGGTGGGGCTACAGGGAGGAAGAACTGTACCCCAGCCATGAAGAATGCCTCTATGGAAGGGGCTGGGGTGGGGTGGGGACAGATAAGTGTATATTATCATTCAGGGTTACAAGGACCTGGATACATGTTTGTTCCTGGTAGAGTAGGGTCAAAGGAGAAGGAGGATTAAGTCTGCTCAGGTGAATCAGAAAAGATTTCATGAAGGGTATGTCTAAACCACTTCTTAAGAGGATGAGTAAGGACCTTTATAAACTCAGCTTGTTCCAGGAATCAGTGCCTCTCAAAATTGCCTACCCCAAACAGTCAGAAACACAAGTTGGAGCCACTTCCACACCTTCCCTCCTCAAACACAGAAACACACACACACACACACACACACACTTAAATGCAAAACTCAAGAGAAATTGAATATATTCTGTTCTTATTTTAAAGTGATTGTTTTAACTATGGGAGCTTATCAGAATCATCTGAAGAACTTTTTAATCTTCAAAACGCCTGAGCCAGAGACCTCTCTGTTAACAATCTTGCATCACGCAATCACTGACATCAAGGTTTACACAACCTTGCTCTCTGATGCAGAGAGAATTAGACTAAAGGACCCCTGTCTATCACTCTAGATTTCCCCAAGGCACGGAAGACTTCTCTCTACAGAATTAGAATTCTCCCTTTTAGACTGTAAAGGAGTGTCAGTCAAAATAGCTTTGAGTATTTCTAGGGTAAGACATGGAAGGTTTCAGTTCTCAAAGAATAAGTTCATGAGCTCTACGGAGGTGGGGAGTGGGGAGACAGGACTACTTCCCCAGCCCCCTGTAAGGTGAGTCGAGTCAAAAGTACTGTCTGAGCACTCTCAGGGAAACAGCAAGTCCCTTCTCCTCGTGCTTTCCTTCTTTCAGGAAAATATAAACCCATTGAGTTGGTCACTAGTTCATTGCGCTTCACTTGATCAATGTGAGCAGGGAATCTCCTGAGAAACCTCTCTCGGGGGCAAAGGCCAGCTGAGTCCCATCAGCCACCCCTGCCAGTGACACCTAACTCTACTTGATGAAAAGCTCTGGAGCTTCGTGCATCAATCTTCTGGTTTTGCAGGACGGCCGCAGTTGGATGATTGGCAACATGTGGGCACATATCCCAGGAAAACGCTTTGGATTTTAAACTCAGGGACCTGTTTTTCAACTTCTCCAGGTCCAAGCTGCCTCAGGTCAAGGCTATGGGGGTGTGGGGATAGTAAGAAGGGTCAGAGATGAGTTATCTTCTTTCTTCCTTTTCAATCTCAAATCTGGCAGAGTTTACAGACTTCATGGGCGAAGAGATAAGAAAACCTCAGGAGCTGACAACCATCCACTCACTGGGCACTTACGGTGAGCTGACTCCTCTTTGAACTGCTGGGGAAATACATGAGAACAGTCCCTGCCTACTTTTTTTTTTAATAGATAGGCACAAACTTTTCTAAATTTTTTTTTTTTAATTTGGCTGCGCCAGTCTTGGTTGCGGCACACCGGATTTTGTTGCGGCATGCAAATTCTTAGTTGTGGCCTGTGGGAATCTAGTTACCTGACCAGAGGTCAAAGCTGGGCTCCCTACATTGGGAGCATAGAGTCTTAGCAGTGGACCACCAGGGAAGGTCCCCCCGCTCCTTGACTTCTTCGAGCTCCCTGCCTAGGGAGAGAGAGAAACAAGGACACAGCTGGATTTTAAAGCACTCAGCATCCTTGCAGACACCTAGGCAGGAATGCAGCTGCCCCCAAATCAAGCAGCCCAGTGACCTAGGAGCCACCCTGCCTTCCCGCCCAGCCTCCTCTCGCACTCCCCCACCTTTCTCTCTCTGCGCATTTATTTCCTACTTGTTGCTCCAAATCACGAACCATTTGCCCTACTCCAGGCCTTTGCATTTGTTGTGGCCTCCGTAGGAAAATACATTTTCCCCAGGTTTTGCCAAGTCCACCCCATTTTCTCCTTCAGCTTGTTTGTCTCTTCCTCGAGGAGACTTTCTTTGCAGTCTCCTCCAACTCAGAAGCTACAGGTTTTACTTTTACCATTTTAATTCCTCTTTAAAACTTTTAACACGGTGAAAAAAACAAAAGGGCTGGACTTTTAACTGAATATTTTGGCAATTCATTTGTAACTTCTCCTTTCTCCCTTTCTCCAGCCCCTGGCAATCAACATTCCATTCTTGGCTTCTATGAATTTGGCTGTTTTAGATCCCTCAAATGGATGAAAGCATACAGTGGTTGTTTTTCTGCGCCTGGTTTATTTTGTTTGCCTTGTCCTCAAGGTTCATTTTTGTTCTCACATACTGCAAAATTCCCTTCTTTTTAAGGGCTGAGTGGTATTCCACTGTATGTATAGATTGTATTCTTTATCTGTTCACCTGTTGATTAACATTTAAGTTGTGTCCACATTACAGCTATTGTAAACAATTTTTCTATGAATATTGTTGTTGCTGTTTAGTCACTAAGTCAAGACCGACTCTTTGCAATCCCATGGACTGTAGCACTCCTGTCTTCCCTGACCTTCAGTATCTCCCAGAGCTTGCACTCATGTCCATTGACTCAATGATGTCATCCAACCATCTCATCCTCTGCCCCTTTCTCCTCCTACCCTCAATCTTTCCCAGCATCACAGTCTTTTTCAAAAAGTCAGCTCTTTGTATCAGGTAACAAAAGTATTGGAGCTTCAGCTTTAGCATCAGTCCTTCCAATGAATATTCAGGATTGATTTCCTTTAAGATTGTCTGATTTGATCTCCTTGCTGTCCAAGGGACTCTCAAGAGTCCTCTTCAACACCACAGTTCAAACGCATCAATTCTTCAGTGCTCAGCCTTCTTTCTAGTCCAACTCTCACATCCATACATGACTACTGGAAACACCATAGCTTTGACTATAGGGACCAAGGAACACAGGAGTGATAAAAAAAAAAGAGAGGACTGGACTCTTGTTAAAGGCAACAAGACAGATTTATTCCCATGACTGCTGTAAGGCAGTCTCCAGCGTAGATGGAACTCCACTGCAACTAAGGCATAGGTGGCTGAGGATTTAAGGGAGACAGAGAGGGAATATAAGGGTATTGAGGGAGCTTAAAGGGAGACCACAGAAAAATGGAAACTTGCAGGAGGGGAGTAAGTGGAGAACTACTGAACCTGGCTTGGCAACGTGGCACACTCTGCCCTTCGGCAATACTGTGTTTTCTTGAGTAAAGACTCAGCCCAGGGGTGACCTGTAAGGACGCCGCCTACTGCAGGTAGAAACCAGACAAACATGTGGTCAAATCTCCTAGCACAGTGTTCAGTTAAGTCCCTTGTGCCATGTGAGAGTTCATAGTTTTCAACTATACTTAAGGTGTTTTGCTTTTATGTTTTATCAATATCTAGAGTTAATTGGGGTCTATAACTTCTTTCTAAATAGGATGAAATCTAATCAAATTTTAAATTCTCACATTCCTTTGGTCTGCTTTCAGTTACCAAATCTGAGATTTATTTATCATATATTTTAATAATCAAAACACTTTTATTCTTTGAAATACATTTTATTTTTTTTGTTTTCTCTTTTCATTTTTCACCCCATATCTTCTTTTTATATTTATTTTGGTTTGTTTCATCAAGTGCAATTTCTAGCAATTGTTTCAGTCACATTTAAGGAATGACGAAACATCCCAGTCACTGAAATGTGCTTATTTTATCCTCTCATTTTTGAATTGATCAATATTTTGACTGTGTATAGAATGTTGATTAAACAGTTATTATTTTCTTCTCCCATTCAATGATATGGATGAGAAGACTTATGCTAATATGATTCTTATTCTTCTGTAGAGAAGCTTTTCTCCCTCCTTGTCCAAAAGCCTTCTGGACTTCCTCTTTTTTGGTGGCCCATAATTATTCTACAATATTTCCAGATGTGGTCATTTTATATTCCTCCTGCCCAATACCCAGTAGTCCTTTTTAATTTAATTCACATGTTCCTGAAATAGAATATGTATCTTTCATTATTTGTTGACTCTTTCTATCTATCCTCTGCATTCTTTTCTCCCAGAACCCCTCTTAGAACTTCCTATTTTTAATCGTTCTTTAACATATTAATTTTTACTAATTAACTTTGCCTTTTAAGAAAATTTTTTTCTTAAAAAAATTTTTTTTGTGCCTCTCAGGTCCAATGCCTCCACTTATTGCTCCGGTCTAGGGACAGACCCTCCTGTTCCCACCCTCAAGGGTATGGTGTGATGGTGGTGGGGAGGGCAGGGACCAAGCCGTCTGGACTCTCCTACCACGGCATTGTAGAAGCACTTTGACTGCTAAGAGCTCCTTAGAGCTCTCTCATGCTCCAGTATCCAATCCTCAGCCTTTAGACAGAGTATCTGAAACCACTCCCTGCTGGGAACAAGCTCCCCAGGGTGGGGTTAGGGCCACAGTCTCATCAATTATTCATATCCCATCTGCCTCCAGTCTTTCAGAAATTCCTTATCATTTCTGGTCTAAGGAGAGTAATCCCTTTTGTCTTATAGTACTGTTATAGACAATTTTCTCCTATATATTTAGAGGAGGAAAAGGACGTTATAGCATACGCTCAGTTTATCATCTTAATAGCATCGTCTGGGTTTAATTTGCAAATTTGTTTTTGATTAATAGCTGTACAAGAACTATAAGCATAAGGATATATATCCAATTTATTTGTGCACATTTAAATAATATTGCAATTAAAATAATTGAACAACACAAGGAAATCACTATGCATTAAAATATTCTTGGAAATGATGCCTATATATTATTCCTGTTGGAGAAATATTGTCTGGGTTCTTACTTGAGAACTTACTTCATCTAGAGTTGATTGAAAAATTGCAGAGGGAAACACTAAAATAATACTTCCCCTGCCTCAGCCGGAAAGCCTTAACAACAGAAGCAACACAAGTGCTAGTATCCTTTGAAATGACCCCTCCCTTCAGGCTGAAGCAATATATTTTCATCCTGCCAACCTGCTGGCCAAGCAGAGCAGGTAGAAGGACGGGAAAGAAAGCTGACAAATAAATGATAGGGCTTACGTAATATTTTCAATGTGCCAACTAACATTCAAACACATTACATTGACTTGTCCTGACAATAACCTAGATGCCTTGATGTCAAAGAGTTGGATATTAACCTCCATTTCACAAATGAGAAAACCAGAGGCTCAGTGAAGTCAAGTGACCTGCTTGAGGTCCCCAGCTACTCTTGACTAGGAAACCAACGTCTGTTACAAGGTGTATCAGTTAGCATCCCAGCAGGACAGAGATGACATGCTGAACTTAGGAGAGTTCGAGGAGGGTTTAGTCAAGGGATTGGACTTCCCAGGTGATGTTAGTGGTAAAGAATCCACTTGCCAGTGAAGGAGACTTCACTGATACCTGGGTCACGAAGATCCCCTGGAGGAGGGCATGGCAACCCACCCTAGTATTCTTTCCTGGAGAATCCCATGGACAGAGGAACGTGATGGGCTACAGTCCATAGTCACAAAGGGTCAGACACAACTGTAGTGACTTAGCGTGCACACGCACAGAAAAGGGATTACTTAAATGGTGCAATGGAGAAGGAAATGGCAACCCACGCCAGTATTCTTGACTGGAAAATTCCATGTGCAGAGGAGCCTGGCATGCTACCGTCCGTGCGGCTGCAAAGAGTCAGACATGATTGAGAACAACATATGCAAATGGTGGGGCAGGGAGTAGAAAAATGATTAATGCAGGTCATCAAGCTAGTGAGAGGAGAGCGGTCCCCACCACTAGGCTCAGTGCAACAAGGAGGGGAGGTGATTATTGCACAGATTCCTAAACTTTTGTCAGTCTGGGGGACCCAGAAGACCCCAACTCAAGAATAATGTTTTTAAATGAATTTGATAAAAAGAATTGCCAAAGAAACCAATTCTATTAAAAAATGATGCATAACATATTCAAATAAAACATGTCTGTGACGAGTGAATGAAAGTCATTCAGTTGTGTCCAACTCTTTGCAGTCCATGGAATTCTCCAAGCCAGAATACTAGAGTGGGCAGCCAATCCCTTCTCCAGGGAAACCTCCCAACTCAGGGATCATGTCTTCCACATTGCAGGTGGATTCTTTACCGTCTGAGCCACTAAAGAAGCCCCCAAATAAAGACATGTTGTATTAAACCAAAATTCTTCCAAATAAATAAATAAAGGTGTGTTTTTATTTTCTCCATTAGCATTTACAGACCTTCTGAACTCGATCCACAGGCCCCAGACTAACAACCCCTTGGCTACAGGAACCCAGAAGGAAAAAATAATGCAGAGGCTATGTTGGAAAGAGCAGTGGCCTTTGGCTGAGGGGCACACATCCACACAGCCAGCCCAGAGAAAGGCCACCAGGAGGGAACTGGATAATACATACGCCAGTGTCCTTCGCTTCTTCTGTCTGACCACATGCGAACTCTCCACTTTGGTGTAGAGTTCTGCCTTCCCAAGGCAGAGAACAGGGTGGAGAAGGCTGGAGAGGGAACCTAGGGGCAACTCTTCAAAATTCTGTAAATCTGCCTAGTTTTGCACTCCACTTACATGCAACCTACCTCTTTGCTCCAAAGTGGCAACTGACTTATTTTAGTTCTAGAAAGCACTCAACCGCTTCCAACTTCAAGAGACACCCCCCACCCACAACCCCAGGAAAATTTTGCCTAACCATCATTCATATCCTATTATGCTTTCTCATTGAATAAGCTAATTTTATTGATTAAAATATCATTAAATGTATCATTTACATAAGTATTTGTTTAGTGTTTTAGACGAAGGAGAATAATATTTGGTGGCTTGTAACAAAGTGGCTCAGCTAGTTAAGAATCTGCTTGCAATGCAGGAGACGTGAGTTCGATCCCTGGGTTGGGAAAATCCCCAGGAGAACGGAAAGGCTACCCACTCCAGTATTCTGGCCTGGAGAATTCCATGAACTGTATAGTTAATGGGGTCACAGAGAGTCGGACACGACTAAGCGACTTTCACTTTCAACAAAAATCCAAAGCCGAAAACAAAGGTTTCAACATAAATACATTACCATGTGTAAAATAGATTGCTAGTGGGATGTTGCTATATAACACAGGGAGCTCAGCTGGGTGCTAGAAGGGTGGGATGTGAGGGGAGTGAAGGGAAATTCCAGAGGGAAGGGACGTATATACACTTATAGCTGATCACGTGGTTATACAGCAGAAACCAACACAACAGTGTAAAGCAATTATCTTCCAATTAAAAATTTTAAAAAGATATGTAAATGATACATTTATTGCTCTTACTACAGAACAAGAAGTCCCAAAGTAGGCAGGATAGGAATACCTACATGGTACCTTGTGATCGTGTTGTGGCTTCATAGGAACAGGGAAGAGTGTCTGCAAACCTATGGAGGCTTGAGGACCTCATCTTTGCAAGGCATCAAAACAGGGAATCGTTATGCTGAGAAGATAAAATGTGGTGAGAGATGAAAGGTGGGGAGGGATGGGGAACAGGTTCTGAGTGTCTGCAGTGGGTTGGGTCAGCCTCAAAGAGAGTGATTCATGTGGGAAACTGGGTCACAGCAGTTTCTGATGAAGGCAAGGATTAATGGTGATCTCTGTGTTACTGTTCTTATTTAAAAAAATTTAATAGTATGACTGTCTTCCTTAGGTCTGACGTCTATTCACAGTTTGGTCTCTCATTTAATTACCTGCTGAGAACACGAGCACCAACATGATTGTTGCCTCCGCCTAGTTTGTGACTCATGATGGGAGTTTCTGAGTAACAACAGGTCCTTGTCACCCCAAAACCTCATCTAAGATCAGGCTTTGGCAACGACAGGCTGAAGACAATCTGTGCCACCAACACCTTTGTTAACTACACCTTCTGTCCTTTCTGTCTCATTTTCTCTCTTCCTTCTTTCCCTGTGTTTTATCTTTCCTTCATTTTTATTCCAGCTCAGGCTAGTCATGTAAATGAAAACTACGTCACATGGCAAAGATTTGACCAAGTCCTCTCAACAGGCAGTCCGCCAGCCCAGCAGATGGAGAAGACAGAATCCAGCCTAGGGTCACCTGCTCCTCATCCCTACTGGACAGCTTGACCTCGCTCAGCCCACTCGCACCTCAGTGGGCATGAAATAGAGCAAGGCCATATGGTACTTTCCCCCCCGTCCTCTGCCTGCCTTTGGTCTGTGGAAAACTTCAGTCGAAGAATAAGTTTAATCAGAGAAATGAGAAAATGCAGAAACAGAGGAAAATAGTCAAAGGAGACCAGAGAGTCATAATACAGTCATCAAGCATAGTCGAGGACGCTTCATCCCTTCTCAATGGCTGAAGATGAAATTCTGAGCCATCTTATAGATACTGAAACCCCCACCAGGTAGAAGAAGTTAGCTGCATGATGGCCAGGCTGTGGTCATGACATAAACTGCTACAATCCTGAGAAGTGGCCTCAAGGATATGGAAACAAGGCAACCCTGGAGCTGAAGATTAACTGTACCTAAAACTACTAGGATGACACTGGTCAGACCATCAGTGATCAATCTGAAGATGACTGGCAGAACTGACTGTGCTGTTTCATCATGTAACACCCTCCCCCTTTCTATAAAAGCTCTTATCCCCTGCTTGTCATGGGAGATGTCTGCCCTCCCCTCCCCAGCAAGCCCCACCCTCCAGTTGCTGGCATCTGAAATAAAGCAAGCTTTCCTCTCCACCAACCTGGCCTGTTTATTGGCTTTTGACCAGCAAGCAGCCAGACTCCACATCTTTTGGTAACAGGCTCACATGAATAGTTCTAATCAATGGAAGGTAGGGGAAGCAATATTTTACCTCCAGTCCGAAGGGCTTAAAGTGCATGAGCTGTCTCTATACTCTTGCTTCTCCTTCGTCACTTGGCAGGATTCAGAGGAGGACCCCAAGAGTCTCAAAGAAGACAAACATTGGTAAAGAGAGGACACTGATCCACAGTGACTGTGCACAGCAGAGAACACCCAACCTTACCCCCTCCCAGTTTTGATATCCTTTTTTATTAATTTTTATTGGAGCATAGTTACTTTACAACTTTGCGTTACTTTCTGCCTGTACAACAAAGTGAATCAGTTATACTTGTGTGTGCACATGCGTGTGTTGTGTGTGTGTGTGTGTGTGTTAGTTGTTCAGTCATGTCTGACTCTCTGTGACCCCACAGACTGTAGCCCATGAGGCTCCTCTGTCCATGGGATTCTCCAGGCAAGAATACTGGAGTGCGTAGCCTTTCCCTTCTACAGGGGATCTTCCCAAGCCAGGGATCAAACCCAGGTCTCCTTCATTGCAGGCAGATTTTTCACCATCTAAGCCACCAGGGAAGCCCCCAGTTATACATATATCCACTCTTTTTTAGATTTCCTCCCCATTTAGGTCACCGCAGAGCTCTGAGTAGACTTACCTGGGCTGTGTAGCAGGTTCTCATTAGTCACCTATTTTATACATAGTCGTCAATAGTCCATGGAATTTTCCAGGCAAGAGTACTGGAGTGGGTTGTCATTTCCTTCTCCAGGGGATCTTCCTGACCCAGGGATCGAACCCAGGTTTCTCACATTGCAGGCAGATGCTTTATCATCTGAGCCACAAGGGTAGCATATATATGTTAATCCCAATCTCCCAATTCATCCCACTTCCCCTTCCCCCTTCATGTGCACTTTCGTTCTCTATGTCTGTGACCCTATTTCTGCTTTGCAAATAAGTTCATCTGTACCTTTTCTAGATTCCACATGTAAGCAGTATTATGCGATATTGAAAGTAAGCAGCAGGCTGTGCCCTCACAGTCTGATGGGTATGGGGCCAGTTTATCAAACCCCCTCAAGCTCAGACCACCACAGACAGTTTCCATTTTTAAGCACTGGCCTCCTGGGATTAAGGTAGGCAGAGAAGATCCGAGATTGTCGGAGGGGTGAGGGAGGGAGAAGGGAAGACGGAACATCAGGAGTCTGTCCATCCTGGCCAGGTCTCAGACTCTGAACAAGGTTGAGATAAGATGATCCGATGAGCTTCTCAATTCTATTCCATCTAGGCCTTGCTCAGGGGAAAAATGTCGACAGACTTTGCTCCTAGTACTACCGATACATGGAAATAAAATGGTTGGCTTCGGATGTCAGGGCCAAGAAGGACACACTGGGGATACAGTGCGCCTTGAAACCAGGTCACTTAGAAAAAAGTCCTGCAAAGTGAAAGCTGAAATGAAAGTGGCAATTTAGGTACTTTGTACCACCTGACTTATTGGTTCTTGTTCTACCTGAAATCTAGGAAAGCTACTTTCTGGGTCCACATCTTTTTAAAGCTTTTTTGAGCAACTCTTTTTATTATTTTTAAATATAGAGCACACATAGATTTCAAGCTTTAAGTGTCCTTTTCATCACTGCTGCTAGAAATAAAAAAGTCATCCAGCTGTTCTGGCTGTTTGTACCAAGTTGAATCTCTTCTGAACACTATGATTCTGATCCTGCAAGACTGTGCAGATGTACAGAAGGGCCAAGCAGGAAGGAGACAGTGACAACTCTGAATTTTCATTTTTTTTTTAAGATTAACTAGTTTGGGGTCAGATTTGTTTTGGTTGAGAAAATACTACACTTTGTCCCCTGTAGAGATTTCCACCCTAAAAGTCCATTGTTTTATTTGTTTGTTTAGTTTTGGGGGTGGAGTTTGGCTCCACCAAACATGGCATGTGAGATTTTAGTTCACCTACCAGGGATTCAACCCATGCCCCAGCATTAGAAGGGCAGAGTCCTAACCACTGGACTGCTAGGGAAGTCCCCAACAAGTCCACTGTTGCAGGGAAGAGTCACTGACACAGCATCATGTTTATGTAGAGAAGAGAAGGGAAAAGAAAAGAGTTACAGGTATTTAGCATGTTCTAACTACCACATGCTCTTTATTATATAATCATCAAGACAACTCAGTGATAAATGAATCCTTTCTTGTAGCGTCTACAGAATAAGACACCAAAGTTTAATTTAAGGGACTTACCCAAGGTCATATAGCTGTGAAGGACAGAAAAAAAATCAAGTTTGTCCTGGCTTGAGAATTCACAGCAGTAAGTTACTATCAGGGCTTCCCTGCTGGCTCAGTTCTAAAGATACACATGCCAATGCAGGAGATGCGGGCTCAACACCTCGGTCAGGAGGATCCCTTGGAGAAGGAAGTGGCAACCCACTCCAGCGTTCTTACTAGGAAACCCATGGACAGATGAGCCTGGTGGGTTACAGTCCATGCGGTCCCAAAGAGTCAAACACGACTTAATGACTGAACAATGACAAAGCTGATATCACCAAATATGCAATCCAGTCATAGAGTTTTTAAGAAATGGCCTAAGATAAAACAGGCCATATACACACAAATAACGCAGTCAACCTCACCCATAAATGCTGAATAAAACTAACGTGAAGTAACAATCAATTTTAAGAATGTGTCCAGGAGGTGGTGAGATTTGAGGAGATTCGAGCCTGCTCATTTACGGATACTATTAATTTGTAAACACCATTAAATGTGAATATTGCAACATAGGATATTATAGTATTTTGCTGTGAAAGCTATGTCATGCTCTTTGCTTTATTTATTTTTATTGAGATATAGTTGATTTACAATCTTGTGTTAATTTCTGCTGTACAGTAAAGTGATTCAGTTATACATATATATTTTCTTCTATATTCTTTCCCACCATAGTTTTTTCAGAATGCTTAACATAGTTTCCTGTGCAATGCTTTTTTCTTAATGAATTTATTTCAAAAATAAATTGAGCTCATTGCTCACTGCCTTTAGGCCTGAATAATCTTAATTAAATACAATTCTTGACAGATTTATACACAAAGCTGATCCTTCTTGGATTCATTTGTATATGAATTCACCAAATACTTACTGAATACCTCCTAGGTTTTAGGGTCAAGATGCTAAGGCTTTGTTCTCAAGATACTTACAGTCTCACAGTCAGAAGAAAAATAAATATACAGTCACAAAATAACATGGCAAGTTTTATGCCAGAGATTGTGTTTGAGATACAGGATCCAGACAGACGGTTACCATGTCATTAGGGAGAGGTTTCATAGAAATAGTGATGTCAGGAAAGTCTCTGAAGGGTAAGGAGGAAATAGCTAGGTGGACAGACTAGGCGGGGTATCACAGGTCAAGGCAGAAGTGTGTTGAAAAGCTCAGAGAAGTGACAGATTGTGCAGAGTCTTGACTAGTTTACTGGGGAGTGGCAGAAGGTGAAGTTGGACAAGTAAACTGGAAGTAGACCAGAAGGATGAGCTCTGAATGCCATGAGTCTACTAGACATGCTAAAATTGCTCTTTTTCTCCTTACTTTTAGAGAAAGTCATCCATGGGGCTGCACATTTAAGGTCATACTTTGCTTTCTCTTTCAAAGTACTTTCTTTCTCGTCGTCCCACCACCATCTGGGCTCCTTCTGACATGTGTCTTCACTAGAGAAGCAGGCCTTCACTTGCTCAGTCGTCTGCAGTGTGGTTTTACAAGTGAGAGTCTCTGGTCCCTCTCTCAGAACAGACACAAACTCTGATGGCTGGTTATAATGCTTTTCTCCTAAATCTTTCATATTAAAGACAGTTCTTCAAGCTCTAAAAGAATTCCAGCATTTACAAAGTACTTCTGAGGGTTGTAAGATGCTATATGTGAGATAAGGTGGCAGAAGGCTAAGAGGTCTTGAAAACAATATCCTTCGTGAAACAAATTAGAAAACCAGGTCATTGCCACCTTTCATTGTCTTGTCAGAAGACAAGAATTAAGGCAGGACATACTGTCAAGGTCATTTCAGATGCTATTATTCTTCTTGTGAAACAATAATGATAATAAAAATAGCACCTTTTTTCATGACTTACACATTTTCAAAGCTCATTCATCTATGATCTTCCCTGAATAGCTGATGGGGAAGGTGAACTTGGAGGACCAAAAATGCTCCCAACCAGACCTCATGTTAAATGATATTTTAAGTGGGAGATGTGATATATGGAACATTTTTTAATCCATCATTCTGGATTTGATACCAAAAGATGGTTTCATGGACATCAAAGTTGGCCTCCATGTTTCTAAACTTGAAATTTAGGTACATTCCAAGAATATCCTATTATTCCTATATAATCTATTATTTTTATTTGCTTATAAAATATTTAAAGTTATTTAAATTTTCATCTTTTTTTCTACTATGGAAGAAAACTTTTAAAATTTGTCATTTCCCCCAACATACTGTAAATTTTTTTCATTTGTACTAAACTTGCCCTTTTATACTTGCAAACAGTAGTCCATAGTTATTAATGATTGCAATTTCACTACTAACAAAGAGAATGTGTTTCAGAGACATATTCATTTGAGATCAACATAATAACTAGAGACAGAAATGATCTAGGAGACTTGGAGGAACTTTTCAGAAAACCATGGATAGGACCAAGAACTAGAAATCTTGCAAATTGTGCAAACTTTGGGGAGAGAGGGAAGAAGGTAGGACTTAGGTAAATGTATCCTTTCCCCAGGTGTACTCTGTGGAACCCACTCTGCTTCAGGTTTTATGGTCAAATAAATTGGATATAGCACCTAATATATCATATTAGACTAGCAAAGGCTCTGAGAAGTCCTGCAGTAGAGTACTTTGCAAATTTTATTTAATCCAGAGTTTTTCAAGCTCTTTGACCACAGATACTAAGGTTTTTTCGGATAGTTCTGCACGAGGCT